TTTATTTTACGTTTTCCGTCTCCAGTTTTATACAAACTCGTCATTTTGAAGACGCATATAGCTTGGATTTACGATCTGATAAGGAATATAATTCCCTTAAAGTGTTTTTAAATTTTATATCAGAATGTACGGTCTAAATTTCTAGCGCCCTCGGACACGCCCTGTCAGGGACGTTCTGAGCGTGGTGCCACTTGTAGTGTTTTCTTTGGAACTTTAGCTTTAGTCGATAAGTAAAATTTTAAATTCGGCAACACTGCGTTTGCGTAGTCACATGATGGATTTTTGACAATTGACACTTTTTTGTTGGTGAGTGTTGATTGAGGAAGATGTTTGCATTTGTAAAAACTGAATCGCAATCAAAAGAAGAGACAGACGCATTCATTGACGAAAAGGATCCTCTTGTGAGCAGTAGTGCTTTTTTAACGATAAAGCAGGAGTGCCATGATACAATAATCGGTGCAGATTGTTCTGTTCCCCTTAAATGGGAAGATCAAAATTATGTTCAACAACCAGAATATAAACTTGTGGATTGGAACTTCTCAAATGAACCTTCGCAGCAACCACAAATTGAAAAAGCTTTTACATGCACTCAGTGTAACTACGCAACCAATAATAAATACTGCTTTAAAGAACATCTGGTAACTCACAAAACGTCCAAAGATTTAAAATGTGCTCATTGTGATTATGCAACCAACAGTAAATCACATTTAAAAACCCACCTATCAACGCATAAGATTTCCAAGGACTTCTATTGTACCCAGTGTGACTACGCCACCAACCACAAGTCAACTTTAAAAAGGCATCTTTTAAAACACCAAACCTCCAAGGATATACGATGTAACCTGTGCGATTACGCAACCAAATCTCTTTCCTACTTAAAAGCACATATGTTAACACACAAGACTTCCAAAGATTTAAAATGTGCTCAGTGCGATTACGCGACAAACAATAAGACACATTTTAGAATGCACCTCCTGAGACACAAAACTTCCAAGGTTTTAAAATGTTACCACTGCGATTACGCAACAAATATTATCGGCTCGCTCAGAAAGCACCTTTTACTTCACAAGTCTTTGAAAGATTTAAAATGTACTCACTGCACTTACGCGACCAATGATAAATTGGTTTTAAGAAGGCACCTGTTGAGGCACACCGCATCGAAGAATTTAAAATGTGACTTGTGCGACTACACGACTATTAGCAAAGTTTATTTTAAAACACATCTGCTATCGCACCAGGCCGACAAAGATTTGAAATGTGCACGGTGCAAGTACACGACCGACGATCAGTCTCATTTAAAAAAACATCTGGTAATCCACAGGATGTGCAAGGATTTCAAGTGTGACCGGTGTGATTTTGCAACACGTTATAAATGCTCTTTGATTAAACATTTGTTAACGCATAAGACTACCAAGGATTTCAAGTGTCTACAGTGCGATTTTGCTAGCAATAATAAATCGTATTTTAAATTACATTTGTTAACGCACGAGACTTCCGTTGATTAGAGAAGCTTGGGCTGGTGCAAGTTTATAATGTGACCCGTGTATGTATTCAAGAAATTGACTGTGCCGATTTTTTTTTTGGTCTGCAACCCCTCGCCCCTTTAAAGTGTGTGAGGGGCTGCAATTCCTTCCACAGGAGTTCCGAGTTTTAGGGAGGTACCTACACATTTTTATTGGGGGGCCTTGTATTTATTTAAATAAAATATATTGTAATTTCTTTTTTATTTTATCTACACATCATCGAGCAAATAGAATTCATTCATAAGTTTATTAACCAAAGTAAACCGCTACCGGTAAAAAGGATAAAGACAATTCATTTCTTGAATAACCGTTGCGGTTTCTAGTAAGGGACTTTCGGTTCCGGGAAGTATTAACTTATGTGGTTACTTGGAAGTAGATTATCAGCGTGATATTGCTTATACGCGGGCTGTCCAGAAAATAACAGACGTTTTGAAATAAAGAGGTTCCACCCTGTATATACAACTTACCATGCAATTTTTAGGTGGGAAAAAGCAGCCTGCGCCATCTAGAAAAGCACGAACGGGGGTTTGGCCTCTTGTCTTGAATGCCGGTCGTGAACGCATCGCTCCATAAATATTTGTTGTTATTTTGTGTTATTTAATGCAGGTAGTAATTTTTGCATTTGTTTATATCGTATTTGTGTTTTGTATGCCACATTTTATATTTTTTGTATTTCAATTTTTGTTTTTGAGATTTGCTTGGTTTAACCGCAATGCAGAATGGCATATGTTTAATACCGTCATCTTTTTGTTTATAATTGTTCACATTTTTGGTGTAATGCTTGCTTAATTTATGTTTATTGATGTTGATTACTTGGTCTTGTCCCTAAAGTAACATTCATGATGTAAGTTTTCATTTTATTTTAATATGTGGAAATTACCGATTCGTTTGATGTATGTAGGTACTGACTTGTTGTTTGTAACTAACCATTTTTATCCGTGAACGAAGCAGTGACGGGGGTGGTAAAAACTGTAGTCAAAATTGAGCTACGACACCTAATTCCGTGATTGTCTTCGGCATTCAGCTCGAAACCAGGGGCGGGTTACCTATCTTGCAGGAGCGGGATTACGCTAATCAAAGCTGTTCAGTTTAGAATCTATGTGCGGTAAATGAGTGATGATTCAATAATTTCCACATATCTTGTTTTTAGTTAAATTTGCCTACAAGGCCATGTAATTTTCTATCTTGACTTTATTTCCGTGTTCTCGTAGTGTGAAGTTAGCGTAGAACCCGGGAGTTAAGTACAGTGCAATGTGAAACTTTTTTCGATCGCTGTCTTTGTTATTAAAATATTTGAACTTTTTAAAAATGTCGAATGTCGACTTTCTTTTGTTGTGTTTGTTAATTTAGTTCGTGTATTTGTGTGAACTATGCCAGGGTTTTTGTCCTGAAGAAGGTTTGCCTGACATCGGCTGGTTGTGTGCGTAACAAGGTGTGTAAAATAATGTTCTCGTCTCGCACAAAACTATGAGTTTTTATTCAATTTCCTTTCCCATTGTGTATAAAAAGAAACTGCTACCCAAATTCAAAAGTACCGCGAAACGACGTGGTCGTTCTGCCATGAAAGTAGCGGTGGCTCTGCTCGTGACAAGGTATGACAAGATTGCAGTCGCTTCTCGACAGTACTGCGGGCGTTGTTATTATGATAAAAATATTAAAATGATTTTTCCTTTACGTCCAAATGATAATGTCTACGTTGTTAATAAAAGATCGCGACATAGACAATGTGTTACAAACAACTACCGAAACATTTTTTTACAGTAATTGGTTAATAAAATTCGTTCATGTAATTGGTATTCTACCCACAATGCAGGACTGTCTATAGGGTGCCTACATACTCCTTCGATTGATCGAAAGATGCTATTTAAATAATTAAACACATTTAGTGATGATGTCATAATACACCGGTAACGTGAGCTTAAACGAAGGATAATCTACTATAGAAATTTTTCCGGTACCTCAACTATCCACACGTTTATATTTTGTCTGGCTGAAATACCTTGTATATTAAATAACAAACTGATCTCTTAGGCAACACTGTAATCTTCGAACATAACCTTACTTTACTTCACTTTTACATTTTTAAAGGATGGGTTTTTTAAAACAATGTCAACATTAGAAGAGGGACTACGAATACTTTTTACCGAATTAGATCAACACAGCAAGATAATTAAATACGAGAATGTGATCTCGGACGATAACTTTTCGGTGTCGCTCCGTACCAAGCTAAGTAACGAAAGTACGTGGAGTAAAGCGTGCGATCGATGGGTGGAACGATTCACAGTACAAACCAACTCAAAATGGGTGGTTAAGTACACGTTTCCGAAGACTCTACGCATGGCCTATCGTAAAGTTTACATCTGCAAGGAGAACAGCGTGGCCAGCAGAAATCGGAATAAATCCTGTAAGGCAAAAATCGATATCAGAATTAAAAAGGTGACTGAATCGGCGTTGAAGAAGGATTCACTTTTGAGAACTGGATATAACGGTGACATTAAGGTAAAAGTCCATTGTTTGCGGTAGAAAAACTCATTATACTTTTGCAGGTGGTTTTTAGTCATTCTCACAGCCGATAATACAACAGTCTACGCAATATTATTGTAAATCCCTACGACATCGTCTACACTACTTAATTTATCGAAGAACCTCGAACACTTCTCCATATCATCGTCACTCAACTCGATCCTCCTAATCGGAATATAATCTAAGGACGCCTCGACAATGTTGTACTTTAACTCTTCCAAGTTCTTCTGCACTTTCATGAAACTATGCGGGTCACTTGTGAACTGCAACAAATTGTCGTCAACCAACACCACGTCCTCAGCTTCGCACTCGATCGCGTGATTAGTGGCGGCCTCCAAAATGTCATCGGCCAATTTCCCACTAAACGCCGAAGGCACCTCCGTCTGGATGACACCCTTATGATCGAAGAAATGCCGACCGCCACTCTCCGAGTACCGACACCTGAAACAGACCCTGTAGCCGAGAAAGTCAAAACCGGTCCGCACTCACGAATGCTTCTTCATCATCGACGCGATGTCCTGCTTGGTCTTGGTCACGTTAGGCGAACACACCTCGCACAGTATAATGCAGTTACCGGGCCCTCTGAAATATCGAAAGGGTGAGTAACGTTAACTCGATCGGATACGTACTTAATTTCGAATGTGAAGCTTTTCATTTGCGTCTTGTCCTTCTGCGTGCTTTTAATGACACTGTCGATCGTCGCCGCCGGCATATTGGAACGTTTGGCTTGAGCGATTATTTGTTCCAGCCTGAGATTTGCGCTCGGATTCGCCGATCCACCCTCTACAAACGAAGATAGTGAAAAACCGCTCCCGGTTTAGGGCAAGTACCGTTAATCGCGACTTTTATTTGTTGCGATAGTTTAGTAAACAATTTCGATCGTTCGTTATCTTTTAGGGACTTCGTGTGCTTTATATTGGCCCATTTGGAATGTCCAGCCTGTCGTTTAGTGATGTAGTTGTATAGGTAGTTTACGTTTAGTAGTCTTTTGTACATGCTTTACAAGAATATAACCTAAAACTGATTTTTCGTCGTTTACATAAGTTTTCAGTTTATTTATCACTGTGAGCACGTTTTGGATTTAATTTAATGGTTTTGAGTGAATAATAGCGGCCCGGGTTTAAGAAAATTACGCAAAGAGGTTGACATAAACCGAACCTCACATTGTATGAAATTTGAATTGTATGACATTTACTCTTTTAGGTTAGGATCAGTAAGTTTTAGGATTTAAATCTCATCAGTGGCGGCTCGTGTCAATATGTGTGGTGTGGATTGAATTTTCAAACAAAAACCAAAGATAATAATTATCTTTGCAAAAACTCATGAAAAGTTATGCGGTGAATTACCCCTAGCAAACCCTTAGCAAAATTCGAAGCTCACTGTATACAGTAATCGTGAAAAGTCTTCCACTTTGGCCGGGGAATGAAACTTGGCAGAAAAGTCGGCGTAGGCGATTAAAGTTCCAAAGGCGACTCGACTTCAATTTTTTTTAATCGCCCGATATTATTTGATTCAGAATTGATTTAGGTATTGTGATACCTATGGTTAGGCAACACACCTTTACATCTGAAACAAAAATATGATATGCTTTCCATGGAAAAAGGAAACACGCCACTTTGCTCCCGCAAATAAAGGTGCAAAATCCGGTTTTCGGTAGAGCGCGGAGATAAATGTGATTTACCCAATCGAGTTCAAATAACAAGGTGACTTCTACCTACATTGTGATTAAAAAAAGTTGAAAACTGGGCAAAACGTGGGACTAAAACCATAATGAAAACAGGCGAAACAATAGTGGCCCTTAGGATGATCCTTGAGGAGCGCCACCTACAATTTCTATTACTTTCAAACAACATTCAAGAACTTGCAACGTGTTTATTTACAACTGATCACCAAAATAAAACAAAAATTGTAAAAAAGAAACTAATAATGCATCGTGTGGTGTTTTTTAAGGTTCCCCTTATGCCGAATACTAGGGGATTTTCGTAACGAAGCTTCTCTAAGGACGGAAGGCATCCCGCGTTCCCGGTTTTTTTGTTCTTGATTACACGTAGTAACCATTTTATTCTTTCTTGCACTAGCTATTTAATCATTGAATTTCTTGCCACAATTTGATATTATTTACAGTGTGCTGATTTTGCATAAACTACGATATCTGAATCATGGCGTACTCGGTACTCCATGCCTTTGTTTTGAGTACCGTTATCTCAATCATATTTGTTTGTTATACTGTACAGATAATTATGCCATTATTTTCTTTTATTAAGTATTTATTTCTGTATTCACGAGGAGTTGATTATCAGTACGATGTTGCTCGGTTCGATTGAATCGTAACTATTCCTTGAGGGAAGTACTTATCATACAGTTTGATTGTTCGCTGTATCTGTTACTTTCTTATTCGTGGCGCGCTGCAGTTCTTGTGCGTTAGCTATACGAAGGCGGAGCGGGGTCTCTTATTTCATGTTTCGATGTTTGTGTGTGCGAGTGGTTCTTTCTGTCTCCGTGGAGAAGGTACCTAATACAGTTCGATCTTTCGCTGTATCTGTTGTGTACTCGTCTCGTGCGGATTGCAGTTCTTAGCATCTTAGCAATGCGAATAGGGGGCCCTCCCATTAACATTTCCACTATTTAAAATATGTTCTGCTTGAGCGATAATCGATTTTCACATGAATACTTGCTATTGGCATTCTGACATGTACTTTTCGTGTTAAATAAAATTATGTTAATGAAGGCTGGAGTAGAGAGTAAAGTACATGTTTCCTATGTACATGCAATTTATTTATTTGACGAGTTGTGTTATCTTAATTGATCGTACGGGGATTTTGATGTGTTTTTGTACTGAACTGATTTATCATGTTTTCCACTGCATTTATGATGTCTTGTGTATGTGTTCTTATGAACTTGTTTAATTGCATTTAATTTGATTATCTGATTTTTATCATACAATTTGAGATGTTTTATTTATGTGTAGTTTCTCTTGCATTTTATTGCTGTAGGTGATTTATTTCATGTATTTGTGTGGCCTATGCCGAGGTTTTTGTCCCGCAGAAGGTTTCCGTGGCATAGTCTTGTGTGCGTAATATATTTATTTGTTCTTGTCATTTCTTAAGCACAAAACGGTAAGTATAGGGTACGTCAACGTTTTCAGTGTCGGCTTGATAGACCCCTAGGAACATTACAGTATGTATTCATGGATTCTAGTGCCTACTTCCTTATATGATTCTTTTAACCAATCATACCACATAGATTGGACAAGGCACCCAATACAGTTCATACCGCTTTTCCATGCCGCTGGCGTTTCAGGAAGTTATTTGCAGAGAAGCTGGTGCCGTCCTGCGTCTGTCCATTAGTTACAGTACAGATTAAGGATTACTTAACCGTGTTGGAGGATAACCCTTCAGCTGCAGGAGACACTTGACGTCCTTCAGGGCGTGGCCAACGAGAAGCTTTCTAGAAGATTTCTTTACGCCGTCGTATTATCCTGATGGGCAAAACGTTTTAACGTAAAATAACTGGATCTATATAAAACGGACTCGCAGTGGAAAACAGCAGTTCTAGATTTGCATTGGGTAGCGTAAGATTTCAAATTTCACCGAAAAGAAAACGAACATCAGCAGTAAATAAACAAGAAAAAGTGCTTCCGGAAGATACAAGAAAGCAGAAGATCGAATTTAACACAAGGACGCTGACCAAATACAAGGCCACTCACATACGGAAAACTTCGCCTGGGAGTCGCCTCCCTGGAGACTTGTAGCTTACCCCTCGTGCAGAGTATACAAGCATTTACAGTTGAGATTCGTGATCAATTACACTTTTAGATGTCGTAACTAGTTTGGTTATAGCATTCCCATTCCTGAGTCCGTCCCTTCACGGCGAAAAGTCGAAAACATTTTGTAGTGTACTTAACCCTCAGGTTTTACACTAACGTCACACTACAAGAACACGGAAATAAAGTCAACCCGGCAACATTTAAAATGGCCACCCGAAAGACTATTCCCTCCAAAACTAAACAAGATCCCGCAGAAATTTGAAAAGTGGCACGTGATCAAACACAAATAAAGCACTGAAATTGTGACATGTTTGTTTAATAGTGATCGTAATTATTATGATTGTAAAAGCTCGGAAATTTAAGTCAAAATAAATTACATTGCAAAAATAAACTTTGAAAATGGTAGAAGGCTGGGAAAAAAAGAACTTACCAATAAAAAAACCAGTCGTCAAATTAATATCAAATTGTGCTGTAAAGTTAATTGTTTGTAATGATGAGAAAGCGTAACATAAAATTATAACATCACAAAAAGTAGCACGTAGAATGCAAGGGGTAACATATAGGTTAAAAACAAGTTTTGGGAATTATGGGTCAGGTAAGCAGGTACCAAGATTTTAAGAAAGGGTACACAGGATGTGACTCATATTTGGGGCAATAAAGTCCTTTTGTTAAAAGCAAGATGGAAAATTATATGGCCTTGTAGGCAAATTTAACTAAAAACAAGATATGTAGAAATTATTGAATCACTACTCATTTATCGCACATAGATTCTAAATTAAGAGCTTTGATTAGCGTAATCCCGCTCCTGCAAGATAGGTAACCCGCCCCTGATTTCAGGGTTTCGAGCCTACAGTTGAAAGTCGTTTTTTCCCACACCCGTGACTCCTTCATTCACGGAGAAAATGTTAGTTACAAACAACAAGTCAGTACATACATCAAACGAATCGGTAATTTCCACATATTAAAATAAAATGATCAAAACTTATATGAATGTTACTTCACGGACAAGACCAAGTAATCAACATCAATAAACATAAATTAAGCAAACATTACACCAAAAACGTAAACAATTACAAACAATAGCATAACGGTATCACATCTGTGATTATGCATTGAGGTTAAACCAAATAAATTTTAAAAACAAAGATTCAAACACACAAAATATAAAATGCGGCATACAAAACACAAATACGATATAAAGAAATGCAAAAATTACCACCTGCATTAAAAAAACACAAAATAACAACAAACATTTATGGAGCGACGCGTTCACGACCGCCATTCAAGACAAGATGCCAAATGTAACCCCCGTTCGTGCTTTTTAGGTGGCGCGGGCTCAGATTCTTACTCTGAGGCGCGGGCAGCTTTTTCCCCACCTAGAAATTGCATGGTGGCCAACTCTCAAAAGTGTATGTATCGTGCGTATACAGGGTGGAACCTTTCAAGGTTAATAGCGAGACTTCTGGTGGTAGCACATTGTAATTAACATAGGTGGGAGAAGACCGCCATTTTGTTTACGTAATCAAGGTTGTAGTGTTTAGGGGTGTAAAAGTAAATACACTTGCTAAAATTTCTTTTGCAATCAAGGTAATTACACCTTAAAGAGCACGATACCATCCCGTTGTACTTGTCAGTTATGTTGACTTAACTTATGATAAAACAGAAGAGACCATGTCAGTTTTGTTTTATTACGCAACTGCCAAAATGGTTACACGCTTCACCCCACTCTTATATAACCTCCTTTTTATCCATTTCCGTCGCGTGCCCTTTTAATGCAATTCCTCTTATTTTTTACTCGTAGCGTTCTTTTAAGAATTTTAAATGTGATCGGTGCAGTTATGCAACCATAACAATAAGGATACTTTAAGTAATCGACGTCTAACGCATATCTCCAAACCCTTTAATTGTGAACAGTGCAATTACACAACAAAAAATAGGAATAGAAAATTTGCATTCTTTGACACACTCCGCTTTGAATAACATTCTATCACTGCTGTCACTGTAATTACGCTTAAAGCTATTCACAAACACAATCTTCTCAAACATTTGAACTGTGAACAGTGAAATTGTGCTACTCACGCACGATAAGCATAACTTGAAAATTAACCCAATGTTTACAACCACCTATACACGCCATTTGTAAATTACACCAGCGCCTCTAGTGTTAGACGAGTCGAATCGGCGTTCATGTAACCAGCCACAGCTGCACCCTGTTGAAGAGCCTCGTGTGCGAGTCATCAACCACATCCTCACAGG